TTAGGTATTTTAGGTTAATTTTGTGGTAATTGGTAAATGCTTTAGGTTAGGTATTTTAGGTTAATTTTGTGGTAATTGGTAAATGCTTTAGGTTAATTTTGTTGGTTAATTTTGTAGGTAATTTTGTAGGCAATTAGGCAAATCAAACGGAAATGTCAAATTTTAGGTTAATTTTGTAGACAAATAAAAATGTTACTAAACCATTGATTTTGTGCCCCCTACAATATATTTTTCTGCGTCCGCCACTGATTAAATGCGTAGGTGCTCACGCAATGTAGGTTCTATTTTGAATTGTATTAGTTCTAGAAAAAATTCCTGACATATTCAGGGGAAATTCATCTAAATAATCTATCTTTTTCATCAAATTTATTTTTTAATCACTTTTTATTAAGTTATTGTTTTAATTGAGTTTATGTAAATGTTATCAAAATCTGATTTAAATAAATAAGCTGTTTAAGATAAACGTAAATTTTCAAAATAAAATGAGTTGTTTAAGATAAATGTAAATTTTCAGAATTATTTTCAAAATAAATAAGTTGTTTAAGATATATGTAAATTTTCAAAATAAATAAGTTGTTTAAGATAAATGTAAATTTTCGTTGCAGATTTTGACTTTTATTTCTCCATTTTTGAAGAATCTGTTGGATATGCTTTTAATCTCTATGGTATCCCCATAACAACCCAACTCATGATACCCATGTCCATATCGGTAGCATACAGTCTGTAAGAACATGTTTTAATATGAATAAAAATCGTAAGTTTAGATCGAACACATATTCATGTTTCTATTTGGATCTGTTAGATTCAAACTGTCCTGGAAATTAAAACAACCGAAACAATAGCGATGATTCTTTGTATTTTTTTGTTTGAAAGACAAAACATCTGAATTCGTATTTTTATATTTGTTAATACATTAATTTCAAGCTGTTATGTTTTTATCATTATTACTTAATTGAAACCTTTAAACTCAAACTCAATATGCACACTTGTTGAAAAGCCGTCAAATCTGTTTGCAAAAGTACGACATGTGTTCCTACGAGTCAGTGTTAGATAGAGTGTGTCAAAACTCAAAAGTCATCTGATCCAGTTAAAGTTGATCTATTCATTTATTACTAGCTGATCCAATTAGAACAAACTGAACATAATTAGATATCAAATTGTAATTAATTTAGATTAGATCCAAAAATTCAACCTTCAAATTAGATCAACCGGTCTTCGATATGATTACCATCTGGTCATCCAGATTGGATCAGATCGGATACCAACATTGATGAAAAATGATTTTTTTTCACACAGAGGACGGAAAACCTATAAGCTTTTTAGTAAGCATGTTATGACCTAAAGTTTTTCACTGATGGGACGATCCTCTAAACCGAATCAACCCATCTGTTAAAAAACAGGTTGGACAGTTATCTTTTAAATGGGTTAACATTATTGGATCTGTTAAAATTAATGAATAGACATGGACGATTAATAATAAGCTCAGACAAACCCAACCAACTTATTTATTTTTTGTTTATAAAAATATAATTAATTAAATTATTATATAATTAATATGCTTTTTATAAATAGGGAAAAGTCTAAAAAAAACCCAATGGACTTTAGTGTTTGGAATGATTAAGTTTTTGGACAATTTTTTGAACAAATAAGTCTTTGGACATTACAAAACATGTTAAATAACTCTTTAAACTTTCTAAAACTTGTTAGATACATCCTTATGACCTATACAACTGGTTAATATGGTAAAATAATGGAAAAAGTCCGAAAAAAAACTCAATGAACATTTATATTTTGAACGATTAAATCCCTAAACATTTTTTGAACCAAAAAGTATTTAGATGTATAAAATTAAACAAATATAACAAAAAAGTATTTACATTTACAAAAAAATAATTACATTTAAAAAATATTTTTGATAAAATTTATTTTAATTAAAGTTAAAATATATTCTGTCAGTGATTTTTCAAACTAAAAAAATTAAAA